TTCAAACATGATTGAATTACAAAACCATGTATTATTTGAAGATTTCCTCTAAAAATTATAGTTAGATATTCTTGTTATTATTCATGAAATGTAATAAAGATTATACTTACAAGTATGTAGAAGATAATGACAATGAGTTTTATGTAATTGATCTTAGTGTTTAAGAATGTAATGATGCAAGAATCAAAATCACAAGTGGCTCAAAACAAACTCAGGATATATTTATATGCAAAAAGTTAATTAAAGATCGAATCATAGGAGCAGAACATATCATTTCAATATAATGATATACTGATAGACTAGCAAAGGAGGGTACTTCCATGCCTCAGGTTTATGCTAAACCTTTAACCTAACTTGAACTATACTCGAGAAGAATTGCTTTAATTAATACATCTTGGAGGCAACTACTGACACAGTATTCATGGTATCGTAATCGTAATGCAGGTCCTGGTATTGCTATTGGTTTCAAGTATGACAAGAAGGCTCTGGCTTGGTTGACTTCAGGACATTTAAAGACCCTTAGATTTTCATGTGGTACTAAAACATCCCAACTTGTACCAAATGTAAACACGAAGCCACTGCGCAGCATCTGTTTAGTTGTGTTGCCTTAGTGCGTGAAGATTTGCCGAAGGTACTTAATTTCGCGATGGAAGTCATAAAATTATAAATAATAAAGGCGAATGAACTTATGAATCAGATCTGATTCAGACCAGAGGGATTAGTAAAAAGAAGAAAAAGCCATGTCATTTCAGTGTTCTTCTTCATAAGATTAATGGTTTAAAATGTAATGAATGAATAAAGCTCTGTTTTTTTGTTATAAGAGCAGGAGATATGGAAAATATGCAATGCATTCGCCGAGACTCAGACTTGAACCTCTCGAATACGCTCCGAGTATGCTACCGCTACACCACGAAGGCATGCGGAATGCGGAAAGGAGGATGAAAATACCTTATATACTCCCCTTTTAAAGGACGACTGGGGATTAGGGGTCCTAATGCCCAAATCCTTGTGGTGAGGGTAAAAAAGAATCATCATCCGACCACCTTTTAGTTTGGGCGCACCTGTAGACTCATTAGTTTTTTTTCGGGGGGGGGGAATGCTGAAGATGTGAAAAATGTGCAATGCCCCTCACCGAGACTCGAACCTAGACCTCTCGAATACGCGCCAAGTGTCCTTTCGGTACACCCGAAGCCAAGCGGAAAGAGGGAGAAAATTCCTTATAATATTTATATTAAATCACAATAAAAAGAATTGATTCTGTGACCTCTAATGTTATAATTGCTGCATACAGATTTTTAGATTTCATTAAAAGATGACATTATACTTACAGTTTGATTAGCGCTAATTAAAATTATATCTAAATAATCTGTAATTAATTTTTTTAACTATTACGTATTTTGAACATTTATAATAACCTAATACATTAATTTTTGTTTATTAAGCTCCTTTAGTTATATTTGCTTTACAAAATTTAACTGTATTGAGTTGTCTAAAAAGCATTGAGCTTTTGGAGGTCAAAATTGAGATTATTGTTATTGAAAACTAAAATTATGAAACCACATACGCATCATTCTGTTCGATTATTTTTTCGCATTATTTTGGCTATAATGTCGTTGCTATAGAATTTTCGGGTTTCCGTTCAAAAAATTCTTACTCGTTTTCACAGGCCTCTTTTGAAAGCTTTACAGATGTAACAATGTTTACAATGTTTAGAGAGTTCTCTAAACATTGTAACAAATGTTAGTCTGGCATGCTAGCCGGTCTATGCGGTAGATGAATTAAACCTCCCAGCCACTTTCTCTTCATTTTTGACAGGTCATTAAAGATATATGCGGTCTGGCGTTGTCGGCGGGATATATAACACCTTTCTGTTGATAAGTTCCAGCCGTTTCTTTTGAATCGCTAAGTGCAATAGCTCTAACATGTCGACGATACAGGTCCGAGTCTATCATTCCGCCTGCTCGTTCCTGGCAGCAGTTCGCGATGGAGCTGCCGCTAAACAACTTGAACATCTTTGGAACGAGGAGCATCTGTGGCCTATGCAGCATTTGTGCTTTTATCGAAATCCAATTGTAAAATGTGGCGCAGTTTTATCAAGTTCATTCAGTTTCACGGCGTAATACTTTACGTCTGTGTATAAAAACTCTAAAACTTTCTGCACATCTTCTAACTTGAAATGACATCATATACCCCAAGACCCATGTCATTTAAGCCATTAATATGAGGCTATGTGATCGCTGCTGCGCGAATCATATACCCTGAGATTTCAAACACTAACGCTAAATCGTGAGCAAAAGACTCAATACTTTTAGATTATCCATTATATTTAGGAAATGTCATCATCTTTTAATACATGTGTATCTCACTTGTCTTGTAGGCATAATGGTAAGTGAAAATTTGCCATAACCCGCTTCGAATCCCAGAGAAGACATGAATATTTGTAAATGTACAGTATCTTTGCGACAAGAGAATTCTTAAAATGCTGTAGAGCCAAAAATCTTCTAGAGAGATTGGTGGAAGGGGGAGAAGGGTAGAACACTCGCATATTTTCCTCAGACGATTCTCTTTTAAACCTTTGTTGGAGCTAAGCAAACTTGTTCTCTTCCTGCAATGTGCCCTAGGCCTAAGCCATTGACAGCTATGGCCCTTGTCATGATAAAATTCCTGGATCTGATCTGATATAACTGTCAAATAAATGAGATAAGTCACAACAACATACACACAAGTATGTGTCTCAAAGAAGAAAAATTCAGGTAAAAAATCCAAAAGGCCGAATCGTTCGTTTATTGAAATTGTTTCAATACACGAAACTTGACGTAACGTATACCTTAGGTTGGAATGCAAAAGTGTGGATGATGTGTTGTAGTTGTTTGAGTTTCACATTAGGTAACTAAAAATAATTATTAGAGAAAGAGAAACAGAAATTTAGTCTATTATAACGAGTCAGTTAAGTTCAAGTTACTTAATTAGAGCGTAAAAACCGTGACCACATTTTTAAAATTTTGTATTTTTAAATATGCGGTAAGTTTCATATTAGTTGTCAATAATATGAATATTGACGAGAGATCTAGGTTGGTAAGACTGCTGGATGCTACTATTTTGACCCAAGAGTTCAGTTTGCTCAACAGATCGTTGATTGCATGGATGTTTTTGTGATTTTCCCTTTGTGTAATGTGAGTATGATTTCAATTTCTCTTAAAAAGTCTCCGTAAAAGTAATTATAGAATTTCTACCTTATTTGGGAATCATTAATTATTCCTTGCATTTAATAATGCATATTATATAATATATTCCATGTCATTAAAGTACGTCGTTGCATAATTACCATTAAGGATCTAAACAATATGTTATTTAATTGAACTCATTAATATGCACCATATGTAATTTTTTAAATATTAAAAAAGAATTGTATGAAATTTTATTTTTGCTGTAATAGAAATATGCATGAAATGTAATACGATTTCCTTCAAGATATTATGCATACAGTCTATGTTCTCTTTAACGGTAAGGAAAAAACACTTACCGTAACTCATCAGTGCAAAACATTCTCATGTTTACTTCATGAAAATTACCAGTTCACATGTTTACTTCATGAAAATTAACAGTTAGACTTCATACTATAGAATTTTGACGCTGCAGAAATATCAGAAAATGAAGGATTAAAACAGATTGAAACAGAAAAATGTGAGGGTAATTCTGTTTTTTAGATGCAACTAAATTGTACGCTTTAATTTAAACTTACTAAATCTTTAAAAGGTTCAAAGTAGTCCCATCCTAATCAATGCATTTTCGTACGCAAATTTTTCAAAGATTAAATGCTTCAAGCAATCCATTTCTTGGAATCGATGAAAAATATGCTTTTATACTCTCATCTTCGGAATGAAAACTACAGCCACGTAAATTTTGTTTTACATTTAAAAATAATCAAAAGTCACACATAACAAGATAAAAAGAATATAATGGATGTTCTATCTCTTTAATATGCTTTTATTTGAGAAATTCAACTGTCAATCCTGTTGAATGAGAAGATGCATTATCATGGTGAAGCTTGAGTCCATTAATTTTAATTTCTTAAATAATTTTTGGAAGATGCTTAGAGGTGAACCAAGTTAGCTGTAACTGTCTTCTTGAAGACTTTTGGCCAGTCTTGTACAGCTGAAAGGAATGAGCAACATGACTTGTTTCATTGCTCGCTATCTTTCTACCATTGCTGATTTAGGGTCATCTTCATAGACCCTTATTTTACTTTCTTGATTCGAAGTGTCAAAAATAGTATGTTTGTTTCATCACCAGTTATGATTTTAGGAATAATGTGATGTCCGCTATCATCAAGTAATTTCAGGGTTTCTTTAGCGATTCTGACACGCTCCGCGTTTTGGTATTCTCTTAATTTATGGCGACTCGACGATCAGTTATTTTTTCATATGCAATAATTCTTCAATTCAATGCAATACTTTTTGTGTAGTTGCACATCCAATGCTAAATTCCTTCTGTATCATTTGATAGGTTAAGCGATTGTCATTAATTAATATTTTTTGTGTTGCCAATGTATTTTCTGGGACTACAGCTGACAAAGGTCTTCCTGTATGTGCTTTACCTAGGAGAGAATTTCGACCTCTACGAAATTCTTTAAACCATCTGAATACAGTGCTTCATTTCCATATGCTAATTGTAGACGTTGAAGTGTTCGTCTTGACTTAGCCCTAATTTAACATAGTACCATAATCTTCTCACATCAGCTCCATTTTTTTTTCTTTTTCTTTTTTTACTTTTTTCGATAGATAAATTGCAATTATTGTCGCATATCTGCGGACTTAAAAAATCTTAAATTCACACATCTAACGAATAATTTTCTTTTAGTGCATATTGTGTGCTCCTGTCTGAAAAAAATTCAGTTATTTACATATCTGCTTTATATTGTCTGTTTAAATTCCATTCTATGCTTTATAATGTCTGTTTAAATGTCATTTTATTTAATATTCAAATTTCATTTTATGCAGATAGTGCCTATGGTTATGAAGTTTGTTGCCACCAACTTGGGTGAAAAGTTTATCCATCCTCCTCCATTTGATCTCCCTCAGAGTTACCGAGATTCAAATGCCACTATTCCTCTTCTCTTTATATTGTCCCCTGGAGCTGATCCAATGGCTGCACTCTTACAGTTTGCTGAAGACAATGGATTTGGTGGGGATAAATTTGATGCCATATCTTTGGGTCAAGGACAGGTAAAGATTACTTTCTATACAATGACACTGAGTGCAACTTCTAGCCTGGTACAGAGTGAAAAATTAAAGCATGGCTAGTAAAAATTAACATAGATCCCGTTACTGTCTAGACAGAAAGATGAGAATTGCACAAAAACTTAACATTTTTATAATTCATGAAATATAAAAGTATATAGCTTACTGTTTTGAAATTAGTTTTTTAAACAGAGGAAATAAAGGAGTATTAAATAATTATGCAGAAAAAATATACGAACTGAAGGCAAAAATTTTTATTTTTATTTTGAATTAATTTTTTAAGTTTGGTTTTGTATACTGAGTTCGTATAATTTTGATTTACTCTGATTTGTATATACCAGAGTTAAGCAGAATATGACTTCTTCATCTCTGATTTGTATGGATTAACTTTAATTTGTATACTATAACATCCTTTTAATTTCTCTTTATAGAAGCACAAAACTTGTTATAAGAATTTAAAAATTATTTTAAAGCTGCTTAAACATTTCAAAAGCTTTCAAAATCTGCTGTCCATTCTTGGAGTATCCTAGGGAGAAGAAAAAATCCTGAAATCCTTTAAGTCCAAGAATGTATAAAAATAGTCCTTTTTTTAATATTCTGTCTTTACAAATGCTTTTGGAATACAAAATGAATACTGAACAATGATATCATACAGTATCATCTATAGCAGGAAGTGTTCACCTCCAGTGCATTTAAGGAAGTTTCAAATATAGGTCCAAGATATCATTTCTTTTTATCCTCCTGATGCACATAAAGAGGCTTTGCTGCCACTTGACATTATTTTGATCCAATTTATGATTCTGTAAAAAAACACTTGACTTCATTCTGGCCTTAAATTAAGCAAGAACTTGCCAGAGCCTGGCTCCAGTTTCTAAGCAGAAAAGGTTATTCCAGCCGGAGAACTAATCTTTAATTGTATGTCATTAGTTTTGATTTATCTCTTAACATTTTATTTAATCATTAATTATTTGTTATTTTATTTATTCATTATTTTTCGCATTTTTTATGGTTTTCCATAGAACTTCGGTATTTATACACTGGTTATCGTAAATTAAGGAAAAATCCACAAAAATCACGATTACTGAAAAAGTTACATGTAGAATTTTATGAAACTTACCCACAATATACAACACATAGTAAGGTACAAAATAACATAAAAATAAATCACCAGATAATTATGGTAGTATAGAAATTAGCACATGTATAAAATGAACAAATCGAAGATGTCAGTTTGCTATAGGAAAAGTACCTTCAATAGGGAATATGGTTGCCTATAGAGCATACAGCCATACGTGATGCGTGATGCTTTCAATCTGCGGTCTATCAGTTCCATAGGAAGCGAGAGCCATTGTTCTTGCAAAGCTGTTGCAAACACGGCAAGGATCTGAGGGGGCAGACTGAGAGCAACTAGACGTCTCTCTAAATCATCCCAAATGTTCTCGATAGGATTCAAATCCGAGGATCGAGCTGGCCACTCCCTGCTCATAATTGCTTCCTGTTGAAGATAATCATCTATGATGCGAGCCCAGTGTGGTCTTCAGTTATTGTCCTGTAACAGGAAAGCATCACCTATCGCCCTGACACATGGGTGCAAATAAGCATCAAGGATGTCATCTCTATAAACCGGAGCATTCACTGTTTCCGTTGGACATGGAGACATGGAGGACTGTGCATCCACCCAAAGAGATGCCACCCCAAACACAGACCACTGCCTCTTCCGTATGCATCTCTTTAACGGATGTTTGACGGATAATAACGGGTTCCAGGTTCTCTCCATATCAAATAACGCCTACTATCGCTTTCTAGACTAAACCTGGATTCATCCGTAAAGAGAACAGCCCTCCACTGATCAAGCGTAGAGTGGACATGTTGTCGTGCCTACTGCAAACGGACCCTCCTATGGCGTGACGTGAGTGGCGCGCAAATGGCTGGTCGTCTCGCATACAGACCACCTTCGTAAAGCCTTCTACGCACAGGTAACGTTGACATCAACCTTCCGGTGGCTGCAGCAAGGGAGGATCTAAGAAGAGTCGGAGTAGCGGTTCTATTCCTGCGTGCACATAATGTCAAATATCGGTCATCAGCTCTCGTCGTAGCAGTTGGCCGTCCTTGGCTGAACCTCCTAGAGGCCGAATCTGTGGTTTGAAATTGTCCCCAAAGTCTATGAACCACAGAAGGACTCACATTTAGCCATCTGGCCACTTCTGTTTGACTTTATCCTGCCTCTCTTCTCCCAATGGCTCTCCATCGTAGTTCTGCAGGCAAATGATGCCTGAAGGTCATTGTTACGAATTGGCTATCTCAGATTCCTGATGTCACTATCACAGTGAAATATGTGGAATTGCTCTCAAACATGGACTTTTATTCTCCTCGCAGATGACGTATTTCGAGCGCAGCGCCACTAATTTGCATATTGCAGTTTTACTCAGCTACTCTTACTTGGCAACATATTCAAATTTTACACGATTTGGCTTGAGGGAGTTATCGCTATTTTTGTGATTTTTCCTTAATTTATGATAACCAGTGTAATTTTAGAAATTAAATCCTAACTTCAGTTCATGAACTCCAATTAAAATACTTTCTATTCAATTTCAGATTTGTCTCCTCTTGAGGAGAGTGAAACACAAGCCATCAAGTATCCTCACTTGGAGCAAGCTTTAAACTTTAAACATAAAAATTAAAATTGCTATCATAATTATTATAAAAAGCAAACATAACTAAATGAATTTTTTTTTTCTTTTCGATAACAGTGATATTCCTATTGCTGAACGTGTGACATCAATTTAGTCATGTCTGGCTTATAATTAGTCGTCTTAAGACTATACAATTTGATTTGCTTTGTTAGCATAAACTAGTATCAAACTCCTAACAGATGTTAAGCGAATTAGCGCTATGACTGGACAGAACTATGAAATGTTACGAAAATTTTAAAAGAAACCTTTTATTAAATCAGAACTTTGAACATAAATGCACGACTCGTGCCTACAAATCTGCCAATCACTTGTGGTGATGTAACGGAGAGAAATAGGAAATTTAAATTTTCATATTTAAAACTTAATAGCCCAGTGCTACACAAAGGTTTAACGCGAAGTTGTCTCAGAACTTCTCACCGGCGTAATAATTCAAAAAGCAGCAACTAGAATGCAAAGCCCGAATATACAGTCATTTCTGAGCTATCTAATGTAGAAACGTGGCTTCGAGAGGCAGAACATGTTTTCATTTAAACTCCCCAAACCTTGCTTTAAATACTATCTCTTTCTACCTCATTCACATTCTGGTAGGGAAATGGAAGCGAGAAGTGACAGCAAAGATCCAAGACATAAAATAATTGGTTAGTAAACAATAATAGTTAATAACCCTACCAGACGAATTCAAGTATCTGAATTTTCAGTAGTTAGGCTACTCCTGTTCTTTCTTAAAAGAAATTTCATGTGCGAAAATATTTGCTCGCATTCATAAGTCGAACCGAATGCAAAAAAATGGCAAGGCCAATTTTAAGAATTAAGGATTGCCTATCGGCTTTGCCAGTCTTACTGATTTCTTCTTGAAATTACATTACAACTTTTACTTTAAAAAATAGAAATGCGTGTTCATTACTACAATTTTGTAATCAAACGAAAATGCTATTTAGTTTCGGTTTACTTTCTATGTCTTCTTCGAGGCCTCGTTTCATATTTATGTTTTATAATTCATTTTTATATGTTATACTTTATTTTATGAACTCATGTGAGTCACCTGAAATTATAAAATGATCGCTCGGTGACCCGCTGGTCATGAACTAACCATGGACTAACCATGAACTAACCATGAACTAACCATGGACTAAATTATGAAATTAAAACTTTTGTTTATGCATATCTATAACTCATAGGAACCTCAGCTCACTGAAAAAAATGTATTCTCTTCTTGTTCAAAAAATTAATATTTTATAAAATATTTAAAAAGCATATTAATTAGTGTAATGTTTTCTTTCAATTGATGAATCATAATTTCCTCATTATTGAGTTCATTATTTAATCATTTATTTTGTTTCACCCTGCATATAGGCATACAGGTATGCGCACTAAAAACGCAGATTAAATTTAACCTGTAAAACTAATTCTGTATTTTCATGATTTATGCTATATTATTGTTTTCTCCTTAGTTTATTTTGTTTATTTATTGCCTATAGACTTTCTTTATAAAATAAATATCTCGTTAGGGTCCTGTAGCACAAGCTATGATAGAAAAAGCTCAAAAAGAGGGTTCTTGGGTTGCATTACAGAACTGTCATTTAGCTGTATCTTGGATGGCACAGTTGGAGCGAATATGTGATGGTTTAACTGAAGAAAATACTAATGAAAATTTCCGAATCTGGCTAACAAGCTATCCATCTGATAAAGTATGTCATACCTTGATTTTAAATTTTAACATTAAAAAACACTGAAAATTAGGAGATTAAGTACAAAATATTTTGTTATATTTACATTTATGATTAATACTTTTCCATGAGCATGCACTAATTTAATTTGAATGTTTCTCAATACTGATTGGTTAATGAAATACATTGTACTTTTATTCTAAAATATTTTCTTTGCTTATTTGTTTGCTTATTCATCTTTGATGTCTTCTAATATTGAATTTTTGGTTTAGTATTATCTTTCAGTATTCTCAGTCATAGCTTTAAAGAAATTCCTAATTAAATAGGATTTTTTATGGCATGTTTGCTGACTGCCAGGGTCGTTTTAACGGAGGGCTACTTGTGGGACTTGCCTGGAAGCTCCATGCTAATCTACGTATGTCAACTGACTTGACATTAATAAAAATATATTTTACATTAACTTAATTCTATGTAATACAAAACCGAAATTTATTTATTTTCAGTTTTTTTCAGGTTGTAAACTATTTTGTTTTACAAATCCGAGAGTATTCTCAGTAATTACAGTATCAAAGTTGTGCAATTATTGCTGAACTTTGACTAGAAACGTTACTTAGATTTGAAATCTATATTTCTACTGCAAACAATACCTTCTGGATGCTAATTCGCACTGTATCCAGATACAGATCATAATGATGAAAAAAAAAATGCGTAAACAACAATTTATCTTATTAGATATGAATCAGCAGAGGGAATAAAGCTGAATAGTTCATCGTGAAAACTGTCCTCTCTATTTTGAACACTTTAATTTTTGAATTGACAAAACGTTTTGTGGCTTATTTACAGATCGGAAATCTGCTACGGAAATAGCAAGCACAGACAGCTTTCAATCGGTAAAGTGTTAAAAGCGGAAGCTCTTAGTTGTAGTTGTAGACTGGCGCCAACAAACGTCATCTCTTTCTCGGGGAGCAGACATAAGGGAACCCATTATAGGTGAATTAGACCTCTTAGAAAAAAACTTAATCTGTTTGCTGGGCAGCTAGCTAAGAAAGACTTGTCTCATTTCCCGAGGTTAAATTCAATACCTTCAGTAAATGAAGAAAAGTTTGAGAATTACAAAGATGGCTTGAAAAAACTGTATTTTGAGTTCTCAGATTTCAAGATTTCAGTGTCATTCAAACAGAATTGGATATTTTGGCCGTGTCTTTTAACGTAAACTGTGGAGCAGTGAGGTCAGATTTGCAGCTTGAATTAATTGAGTTGCAATCTAACAATCATCTCAAGCATTTGTTTCTAAATATATCAAAGTTAGAGTTTTACAAATCATTATCGAAAGTAAATTTCCCAAATTTAATATCTCTCTCCCAGAAAATCAGTGCTATGTTTGCTTCATCTTATATATGTGAACAAGTGTTTTCTACTATGAACCTTAGAAAGAATTATTTCAGAAGTAGACTGACAGGTGAGCATTGAGCTTCGTTGCTTAGAATCTTACTTCGAGCCTCAATATAATATAACTTTTAAAAATGAAATCGCAATTTCATTCATCTCATTAACATACTTAAATTGTAATACTTGTATATTGTTTTTAAATTTTATAAAAATTTATCTTGGCCCGCCAAACTTTTTTTTTTTTTTTTTCGATTTTTGGTTTGCGACCGAAAACGTTTGCCCGTCCCTGATGTACATGATGGTGAACAGCTATATAGAAAGACTTTCATTTTCAAGACTAAAATTTATATTTTAAAAAAATATGTTTCTTAGCTTAATGGGTCAGCAGCATCTGAACTGGCTTTCACTCACGTGTATGGAAAACGACATTCTGAAGATAGCTGACTTCAAGCCAATGATAAAACAATTCTCTGAAAAGAAATGCTGCAAATGCTTGTTATAATAAGAATTTTATAGAAATTTCATACTGTGCCAGTCAGTAGCGTAGCTAAGAGAGGCAAGGCAGGACATCTGTCTCCAGGCGCCGAACTGATGATGTGACAAATTTTAGAATGAAATCTTTTCCATTTTTCGCAAACAGGAGGGGACGCGATATCTTGAATTGTCCCCCAGAACTGAAAACCTTAGCTACGGTTTTGCATCTAATCTTCTAATCTGTGTATATATTTCAACACCAGTTTTGTTTTTCTGTTAAAGTGTTAATAAAATAAGTATGTTAATATTATAGGACATGCACATTTTATTTCTGTGAATGATTGTCCCATAAGAGGGTAGTGCTGATTGCTATTTATTGCATTTGGTTAACCAATTTAAAAAGGAAAAATTCGCCTGTATTTAATTTTCGCTTTTGAGAGCAACTTAGCTGGTGTCTAGATGGTTGCTTATGTCACCTGTGCTTGCAACCGACCATGTTATGTAGCTTAAATTTATAAATTAGGTTTGATCTGATGCCAGCTGCTAACAAATAATATTTTATGTACAACATTTTAGCTGCAGAGTCGTCAGGCGGAGAGTGACTGTCGTGCAAAACAGTGTACTCAACTCTGTGTGATGTTGATGCCATCTGCTTAGCCAGCATTCTGATTCTGATTATTCTAAAGAGACTATTGAGACCCCGATTCTCTGAAGAATCGAACAAGCGAACTTACTATATTGTGAATTGTATGGGAGTGAGAATGGGAGAATTAAATTTTAGAGAATAGATCCAACTTTCAAGTTGTGTATATGTATATATAGAGAGAGACTTATCGGTAAGATTAAATGAAAGAGGATAAATTATTTTATTGTTTTATTTTACAACATAACTCAAACTTTACACGAGAATGAGCAGTAAAGTTAGCAACATAAATCAAACACAATGTTTCCGGTAAAATCATTGTTAAACATCAATAATAATGCCTAAAACATAATAATAATTTGCGAAAAATTTAATGCTAAATAATGCACTTTTATCTGATGCGATAAGCGCACTGCATGCAGATAAGGAAATATTCGGCCTCTCTTTTTCACGTTGAGGTAGGTGGTGTATGGTGTGGTGTATTTAATTATGGCAAAGCACACTAGGGCTATCTGCCTAAGGGGAGGGGATGCCTTCGTGGAGGACTTTCTAAGGGGAACTGGCTCGTATACACGTTACACAGGGGGAAAACCACGAAAACACCCATGCAGCCAGACCGTTCGCAGGATTCGAACCTCGGACCGAACTACCAGTGTTTCAGAGACTTTACCGCTCGGCCGCTGGTGGGCGACGTTGCGGTAGGACAGGCAGGAAAGATTTTTTCAGGAAGGAAAAGATCAGCTGAGTTCGTCTACGCCGCCCACAATTTTTTCTCTTCACCTCTTTTAATACAAGACACATATTTGAGGTTTATGTATCTTATATTTTTTCATTTCATTACAATGTTAATAGTAATTTTATTATTTCTTCTCTCGTAATGTTGATTTCCCCTTCCTTTTCATATTGTTTAATATTGTGAGAACGGGGATTTTTGTGACCACTGATGCAATCTGAATTGATTGTGATATAAGTTAAAAATATTAATTAAAATAAGTACACTAATGCCCCAGTTTACGCATTAATGCGTAACAAAAAATAGCCTAAAGCGAATCAAACGTAAAAACGGGGTCGAATGCATTGTCATATGAAATATCTTAAATAAAAAGGAACATAAATACAATAAGGTCAAAAACAGTATTTAACAGTGAAATACCTACTTCAAAATTGAAAAAAAAAATATTAAATATTAATTTTATTAATTACTGTGTATATGTATATAGTTCATTACAGGTTAAATGTATGTACTTTATTATTAGCTTTGTCCAGAAAACGGATTCTGAGTTTATTACATATGTATTATTAATATTTGTATTATCTTTGAGTCAGTATTTCTTCATAACAACTAATAGAGTCTGAAATTCCTCTTCTTGCCTCTGAACTGTGATCCAAATTTAGATCATGCTCCGAAAATTCATTCATTATGTTTCCTAAAAGATGCAGTGCTTTAAGAAGTCTGTTGACAAATTTTTCGGTTTTTCTTCATCTATGTTTCCTAAAGCAATTTTAACACAAAAATTGCCTACTGATGCATTATATTATCTGTCAAATCTTTCAGTTCTTCATTTGATAGGCTTTCTCCATCAGATTTTAACAAATTCTTAATTTCCTTTTCATCAACTTCTTTCATACCTGCTTCATGAACTAAAACATTAACTGTAATAATGATTCCATTTTTCTGTCCATAATTTCACCAACATTTTCGCACATTTCTGGCCAAATGCTTTTCCAGACTTTATGAATACAGTTTGAAGTCATTTTGTTCAGAAACATGCTTTATATTTCATAGAGCATTTGCGATGTTTTAACTTTTCCAAAAGTGCGCTTCATTAGAATCAGTTTTATCAATTAAATATAGAAATCTTTGTTTTATAGTTGTATATCACAGCTTGATCCGCATGTTGTATAAGCGAAGTTGTATTTAATAGCAGATAGACAACTTTCACTGGTATACAGACATCGAATATATTTTAAAGATTTTTGAACGTTATCTATTAAAAGAAGGGCTTTTGATTCAGTACTGTTTTCATGGCAGCAACACGTTACCTATGAGCAAATTTCGATTATAAACCAATCTTTAGAAATTTCTATAGTGACCCAAGCTTTTCTGTTCGATCGAAGAATCACAAAAAGTGTTTATTTGTCCATTCCTTTCGGTGGCCGTAGTGTTCCAGAATGATACACAAGCATAGGCTTGAGTTTAAAATCAACTTTCTCATTCTGTCCTAAAAGCGAGTCGAGTCTGCCTTTTGACGCCTTAATGTCCAGAAGTACATTTTTCCTGTCATGAAATGTATGTACGGGACGGCTTCTTCTAAAATTTGCCATCAGTAAGGCTTTTTGAATTTCTAGAAATTCTTCAGCAGCTTTGTCAGCACTAGCTTCCTCGCCAGTAACACTTAAACTGTGAATGTTATTTCGTTTTTTTAATATATCCAACTTTAAAGTTTTATACATATACATAGAGACTTAGCCGGTAAGATAAACGAAGGTGAATCAATTATTTTATTGTTTTATTATTATTTATTTATTATTTTATTTGTTGAATTTTATTTTGGTTCTTAATTATGGTAAAATTAGGAGAAAAAAATTCTTTCAAGGCTTAAAATTCTGGAACAAGGCTTAAAATTTTTTACAATGTTTTCCCTCTTATAGTAGCCCCCCCCCCAAAAAAAAATCACAACTTAACATGTTTCTAATTTTCTTGAAAAATGTTGCATTAAAATAGAATAAAGTATACAAAATATACTTTCAGCGTATTCGTTTCATTTTTTTCTGTATGATATTTTTTCATTAGATTATTTAGTTAAATTTTAATTTTTTCTCCTTTCGTCTTGGATTAAAGGTAATAAATGCATACTGTATAAATTGTCATTTTTATTTACACAGTGATGTATTTTATACTTTCTAGTTTCCTGTCACCGTTTTGCAAAATGGTGTAAAAATGACAAATGAGCCACCAACTGGCTTGAAGCAAAATTTGTTCCAGTCATTTCTCAGTACTCCTATCAGCGATAAGGATTTTTATTTAGGTTGTGGAAATAAGAATAAGGTAAGAATCGCTATTTTTATTTTCATTGAAATTCTATAAAAATTTCTTTTAGCAATATTTATGAAAATTTTTATGATTACATTTTTTAAAGTGCATAAGGTTTTTACTTGTGTAATAGTTTAAATCAATGTTCTTCAAAACCTGTTAGGTTGACGAGCGAGTTATTGTTCCAGTCTGAATTAAGATGTCAAATCCTGAGAAGGATAAGATAACTAACTATTTTAATTTGGCAGAAGGCACTACTTGTGCTTACAAAACAAAACTCTGCCACTTGCATTAACATAGCATATAATTATTATTATGTTAGGTATTTAACATAGCATAACTTGATATTTAATTTCAAGCATCATAGTCGGGGATTATACGAACTAGTCTACTTAAGTTGGCTCAGATATACGGTGCGCATTTAACTTCGGCTAGCAAACTGTCTAAATCTTTGGCAATAATATTTGGCAGAGCTAGCAATAGGACGTAAACTGCAATCTTGGTTGCCAAAAGCTCTAACTCTAAACATTCAAATATTCGACTTAAATACTAACACAATTATTTTGCATTCTGGTGAGAACTACGAAAAGAAGTTATAGTAAGGGTTTTAAATCATAATAATTGGTTAATTAATGAATCCTTACAAGTGTTTTTATGGGATTTAGCAGGTAATATTAATAAATATTTAATATAAATGATATGAAATCAAACTACAAAAACTTTAGATGAGAAAGAACCTTTAAAAATGTATAATAAGGATAAATCGGCAAGTGAGTTGCTGACGTCAGTATGCTGACTTGTGCATTTATATTTATTTATCAAAGTGTCTGGCACATGAAACAGTATATGGTAATGCATGTTTATGCTTTTAAGAATGCTTTTATAAAAAAAATTATGCAGGATATAATGCATTTTAGAAGAATTTTAAATTAAGTGTCATAATAAATTAAATTGAAAAATGTTTTCAAAAAAACATTCCTAAATTAGTTTATTTTAGTTAAATATTTCAACCTTCCATCTCGATTGCTGAATTTTTCACTATTTCATAACAAGTGCATTTTGTTTCAGCTTAAAATATTTTTATTTTGAATTTCTCTGCCTCTTATGATCATTAATTAGGTTAAGGTTGAACGTAATGTTCAATTTTTGCCTTCGCACTTAATAAAAGTTAAAACTTCAAGAACACAAACAAGAATCGAAACTTAATCAGAAGGTTGCATAATGCTATATCTCCATAACTCGAATATTAAAATAAATACAATTCATTCTAACTTTTAGCAACTTTCTAATTTGGCTTCAATTAATAGTATAAGGTTCCAACCTTTAATTTTACAGCTAAGTGTGTGGAACCTTGAGAACTGGTAAATGAATAATCGCTTTAGCTTAGGAAACAGAAACGTAAACTCAAGAAGGGTTACCCTTTATTGCTCAAAATAAGGTATAAGAGATGGCCCTTTCTCAGGACATACAGAAAAGCCTCCACTTGGGCTTGAACTCAAAAAATACTAAGAAATCAAGCTTAACTAATGCTTAATTAAAAAGATATAGCCGAAGCTATCAAAATTCTACAGGAGATGGCTCCTAAATGTTAACTAAACGACGAAGCTATCAAGGGTGTCTGAAATACGGCCGAGCGTAGTAATAGCTTTAGAGAGAGTGTAGCCAAAAGGCGAACGCGCGCTAATCTGAATCTCTGGCTCTCTAAAACGAAATCAGTGGAACTTCGACTTAAGTACTGCTCTTTCCTTCATTTGCATTTAACCGCGATTCTAAAACCACACTCTGGCCGGAAAATTGTAAGCTGAAATTAAAAGGGATGGGAAAGAAGCTTTAACTAAAGGTAAGTGTTAAAAACTTAAGATAAATCTTACAATGTGAACCCTGCTTGCTCACAAATACAGAAATTAACTTGCCTTACATGCAGGTCAGCTATAGCCACGCATCTGAAAGTAAACGTCTTTAACAGGAGGTTGCCATAGCTCTCTTCCTAAACTACAAATTTGCTCACTGCTTAACATCAAGGTACAGGAAAGTATTAACGTATAAATAACATATTACCTATTAAATCATGCAGTTTTACACTCGTAATTGCAAACTTTTGTGTTTCAGAGCACTGTTTCTAGTTTTAAGATTCCAACTTTATTTTATGCTTATATAATACTATAAATGAATCATTTTTAATTCTCTAAATAATATCTAAAATTAATACTATGAAGTATATTCTGAAAAAGATCAGTGTTTTTTTAATCATACTGATTTATCAACAAATAAAATCTATCTAATTAATACATTGCTTTTGTCACAACAACTTTTAGATTGAGGAAAACTGTTGTAGTATTATTATTGAGAGATGTATTTCAGACCGGAACAATAATGAACGACCAATGTAACCGTTAAAATTAGATAAAATGCAGTCTTAATTTAGTGAAGATTTTGAATAAAGTTCTGTCAGCTTAGAAATGCGATCGGATACAAGTCCCTCTTCTTTCAGGAGCAAACAAATGTTTTTGCTCCTGATAAAGAAGGATCTATATCTAATCGTTTTCAAAATTTATAGAATTTTATTTAAAATCACGGTCAAACTAACTTGCTTTTCACTAATTCACTTGCTTTTTTACCTAATTTTAAAGAGACAAGCATTTTTTTTTAACTTTACTGTTTTTAGTATATTATCTTCTTTGTTTCAGTTATTTTCTGAGTATAGTTATACTTTGCTTTAATTTTTTTTTCATAAATTTAACTATCTTCCTTTTTTCAGATATTTCATAAATTGGTATTCAGCTTATGTTTCTTTCATGCTCTTATCCAAGAGCGTAAAAAGTTTGGTCCTATAGGCTGGAATATTCCATATGGATTTAATGAATCAGATTTAAGAATTTCATTGCAACAGCTACAGATGTTTGTTAATGAATATCAAGATGTACCTTTTGAGGCTATAACTTACATGACTGGAGAGTGTAATTACGGTGGAAGAGTCACAGATGATTGGGACAGAAGATGTTTGTTGACACTTCTAGCAGATTTCTGCAATCCAAAGATTATAGAAGAAGAAGAATACATGTAAGATAAATTTTTAATTGTGTATGTTAGTTTGTTGAGCGAATTGTCAGTTAATTATGAATAAAGAAATTAGTTATTATTTAATTGATTAATTAATTGTTAAGGAATTAATTTATGTTTATGTATAATTAAATGCAATTTTTTAAATGTTTTTTAGGCTGTCACCATGTGGACAATATTCTGTACCACATGTAGAACAGTACGAGGAAGTGTTGGATTTTATATCAGTGAGTATATTTTTTGATTATTTTATTAACAGCTCTGATTTTTTTACTAAAGTTGCCTTTTCACAGACTTTTTATAAAAAAAATTAATAGGAGCATAATGCAGAAAATAAAAATTCTTTTTTATTTGTGCCATTACAATATTACGCAATTTATTTTGTCATTTAGCTTACCAGTCTTATTAAGCTGATTGATTTTTCACAAATATTTACGAATTCCATTTCAGAAATTCCCTACAGCACAGCATCCTGAAGTGTTTGGAATGCACGAAAATGTTGATATTACCCGAGAACTTCAAGAAAGTCGAAAACTTCTCGACAGCATTTTGCTAACTGAGGGGACGTCAACATCTGCTCAAGGAGGAACTGCTGATCACCAACTCTTAGAAGTAGCGTCTGACATTCTTGCAAAAGTATTAATTTATGTAATATCTTTATAATAATTAATAATTATGAGAAATTTTCTCGGAATATTCAAACATAATTAATTACATGACATTCGCAAATTGTTTAGGTTACAAGTTATTCAAAACTCCACGTACAACTTTGAAAGTAGGTAGGGAATAGTGTTAATCAAATGCACATAAGAAAGCAGCATCGGGAACAGATAGGTGACGCTGTACACTAGCGTTCCAGGTTTGACACCTGGGGCTTCCTAATTACAGCTTGCATGTGTTATATGTCTTATGGGAAATATGCACCGTTTTAAAAGTGCTGAGTTGGCGGACACGCACTGCGAGTATGGGTAACCTGGTGGTAATGGACTACCCGCTTCAAAAATATCTGCGAAAAGTATATTTGAAACTATTCGGCAACCCAAGTACTTATTTTTTCAGGTATCACTGCGAAATTTCGGAGATCTGCACAACTTTTTGTGAAACCATATTCACCTGCATCAGTTGTTGCACTGTTAAAGTTTAGGTTATTAGAGCTCCTGATCCTGCTTGATAATGTATAAATGTAGTATTAAAATATAGTATAACAGACTTATAAAGGGCCCCATATCTCAAATGGATACAGCCGAAAACATCGCGGCAAAAACACCGCGGCCGAAAACGTCGCGGAGAAAACAATCCTTTATTCTGTCCTTACTTGCGGATGTCACGCAAAAAAATCATTAAATTGCATTGAATAGCGTTCAAAATCGATATTTTTGTTGAAATATGATACCCGAAATTTTTCGCGATTACAATACTTCCTTTTTACTTCGTACAAGGAAGTAAAAAGACACAGCCGGATTTAGACTTGATAAGGCCCTAAGCTATTTGAGATGGTGATTGAGAAGGCGAAAACATCGTGGGAGAAAACATCGCAGTTCTAAAACATCGTGGTACAAAACATCGTCGTCGAAAATAAAGCGGTTCAAAAACTTCGCAGTTTAAAAACATCGCCGTCGAAAATATCGTGGTAAAAAATAAAGTATCTACAAATCATCGCATGACATCACGATAACATCACAGACATGCTTTTTTGCAGGCTATAATAATTGTAAATGAATATTCCCATAATGATTTGTGAGTGCAAGATGTAAAAAAGGATAATTTTTACTTTCACATTTTTTATTAATTAATAAATTTTTGCTGAAAATGTAAGAAGGAAACTTAATAATAGAAAATTAAATGCAACTTATAGATTAAACTTTTCATAAAAAATTACCAGTAAAAACTTTATAAAAATGATTTGTTAATGGCCTTTGTTAGTTAACTTTGTCAGTGCTATAAGTGCTATAAGTTGCAATAATTTTCTATGCTTAAGTTTCATTCTTATTTACTCAGCAAAGATTTATTAGTTAATAAAAAATGTGAAAGTAAAAATTATCGTACTTTCCATCTTGCTCTCACAAATCATTATGAGAATATCCATTTACAGTTACTAAAGCCTGAAAACAGCATGTCTGTGATGCTATCGTCATGCGATGATTTGTAGACACTTTATTTTTTATCACGATATTTTCGTCGACGATGTTTTTAAATTGCGAAGTTTTTGAACCGCTTTATTTTCGACGACGATGTTTTGTATCACGATGTTTTAGAACTGCGATGTTTTCTCTTTGCGATGTTTTCTACCACGATGTTTTGTAGCACGACGTTTTCGCCTTGCGTTGTTTTCTCCGCGACGTTTTCGTCCGCGATGTTTTTGCCGCGATGTTATCGGCGGACACCATCTCAAATAGCTTAGGGCCTTATCAAGTCTAAATCCGGCTGTGTCTTTTTACTTCCTTGTACGAAGTAAAAAGGAAGTATTGTAATCGCGAAAAATTTCGGGTATCATATTTCAACAAAAATATCGATTTTGAATGCTATTCAATGCAATTTAATGATTTTTTTGCGTGACATCCGCAAGTAAGGACAGAATAAAGGACTCTTTTTCCCCAAAAAATTATAAAACTGATTTAAAATGTATTTTGAAGAGAATTTTTCGTGGTGTCTGTGCTTACGTACGTACGTATCTTGCATAACTCAAAAACGAGTAACCTCAGAACGTTGAAATTTTGTATGTAGGACTGCTATAACATGTAGATGTGCACTTCGAATTTTGGTTGCAATCGGCCGGTCCAAAAGTATATAAATATATGTATGTATCAGTGGCGTTCGTCAGGTTTTCATGCAAAGTGTGCAGAGAACAACAACAATAATAATAATAAAACCATAAAAATGTACATTAAACACTTCTTTAACTTTTTATTATTCATTTGTACACAAAATCCATACGTCTTATCCGTATTACTAACAAAATCATCAATTACGTGATCATAAAACTCTGGTTTTGACTGTAATAAGTGTAACATTCCTTTTTCTATTGTTATTAGAGATAAATTGCTTAATCTATCCTGGCTCATTGTATTGCGTGCATAATTTTTTACTCTTTTCAATACTGAAAATAATCTCTCCACCGAAGCAGTTGGAAATGGAATTATACAAATTAAATGTGTCAATTTATTTACTTCGCTTAGAGCGTCTGCCAAATCATTCAGCATTGTATGCTGAATAAGTTTCGATAAATTCATTTCGTGGTATGACTCACTACGATAAAGAACGCATAATTCATTGGTTAGCTTTACGAAATCGAAATGTTTAGCATAAGCGTTCTTTAACGAATTAAGAAGGCATTCATCCGGAAATTTTACTTTGATATTTCTTTACAAAAAAAATGAAATTCAATAGTTCAAAAAATTTGAGCGAATTTAATTTTTTTAAAACGAACATCTAACTGACTAATAAATAGTGTCCATTATTTCATAATATAAATTTTTTAAATGTTGGTCGTTGGTCTACACTTGAGTTTTGTAAATTTACACGACGTTTTTTTAAATTTGGCGGACCCACTACAGAAATAGTCTCTTCATAAACTTCATCGAATGCAACAGAAGTTCGCATATTTTGAATTGCATCTTTTACTTCCTCTACTTTTTGACTAGAATATGCTATATCTAAGTTAGTTTTTTGTAAAATATCAAATAGAAAATCAGAATAACTAAACACTTTGGCAAAAATATTTAGGAGAAAATTACCGTTAAATTCTTCAAAAACCATGTGATAACTCTTTGCAATAATAGTTGTATCCTTATCCCAGCCTTCTGGATTCTTAATAATATTTTCAAATAAATCAGATAGGCCTTGCCTTTCGCTTTTTATGGTATTTACCAAACGAGATGAATAGTTCAACGTGTTGTAGCAAATTTTGGAAATTTTCTTTTAATACTTTCATTTAAAACATGATTTCTTTTTGTAGACACCGAAAAAAATGAGGCTAAACCAGAAATTGTTGCAAAAAATAATTTACAATCTTTTATAAACAATACAGATTGCGACAGAACTAAATTAAGTACATGTGTGTAACAATGCAGAAACATAGCTTCTGGGAAAATGTCTTTTACTTTTTTCTGCGTCCCATTCAACGCTCCTGCCATGACTGCCGCCCCATCGTATGTTTGAGCAATCAGTTTATTCTCACACCCCCAACTCAAAAATCGTTTCTTGCACAACATTACACAAAGCTTCCGCTGAACGATCACCACTAACATCCTTAAAAAACAAAAATCTTTCCACTGGTGCTCTACAATTATTAACATATCGTAGCACAACCGATAATTGCGATTTGTGAAATATGTCAGATGTTTCATCCTGCATAATAGCAACGAATAGCTTTTCTTTTACCTCATATATAATTTCTGAAATTACAATATTTTTATCGATGCAATAATATCATTTTGTATTCTGTTAGAGGTTCCAGAAAATACAGTTGCAGTTCTTAGATGGGTTGCTAAAAGGTCATCATATTTATTAATTAAAGTTATTAATTCTATATAATTTCCTCGATTAAGGGAATTTATATTCTCATTGTGTCCACGAAAAAGCATCTTCTTGTTTTGCTAAGTAACAAACTACATCTATTAATCTCTTGAGAATATTTCTATTTCTTGTTACTTTTTCATTGTGTTGAACAATCGATGAAGCCTTTTGTTGATCTAACATTAAATCTATTCTGGCGGTACTAAATGTTTTTAATAGTATTACGGCATTTATGTGAGATTGTGTTTTTTCATGTTTCTTTACAGCTTCGTGGAGATGATTTAAATCACTGTAGCCTTGTTTTGTCCAAATATTCTTGTCCTTTTCAATTACAACAAAAAGTAAGCATGGCCAACAGTACAACTTATTCAAGTCACTAAAATCGGTTAACCATTTAAATTTTTCATACATATATTTTTGAAAATGTCGTACACACTGTTGTCCTTTAATCTTAAAGTTTTGCGATAGAATAATATCCGGCATCGGTCTACTTAATTTAACTATAGCGCTTTTTGTAGTAACGTCTCGTCTCGAAAAGGAATTTTCCAATAAATCTTTAATTATTGAGACATCTGAGTTCTCCATTCTGAAATGGGTTATTTATTATGAATGTAAATTTAAAGAATACAATAAATAAAATATTTACGTACGAGTAGTCGAGGTATAACTATAAAAACAGCTAAACTTACGAGAAGTTTGCTAGCACTGAAGCAAAAATCATGTCTTGTGTAGTATGGTGTCATATCGGTGGCGAAAAAGCAACGCTTCGGGCTTCCACGAAAAACTTATATTTTCAGCAAACGTAGTACCACATGGCGCCCGCCGCTGCGATGCCTCATCATCAGCCTGATGACATCAGGATGCTCATTGATGCCGACAAACCGAACGTCTATTCTACGTGCAGAGGATTTCACTGCACGCTGGCACAATACAACGAACTGTTTCTTGTTTGGTCAGTGGATTAAATTATATTTATTAATTGTTTTTAACATATGGAAATCATATATTCTGAGAAAAACATCTTGACAATTTTTAAAAACAAAACCAGGGTTATGCTGTTATACAGATATAACTTATATACTGTCTGTAAGACACAATGAATGGTAAAATTTGCACTGTTCTGTTAAAATTCGTTTCTTTTTTGTCTAACAAAACAAAATTGTTTTCCAGCGAATTATTTCTATAAATATAATACATCACCGAAATTACTTTACCACACTAAAACATTTCCCTTTATATTGATGAAATACTTCTTTTATATTTCCATAAAAAACAAAATCTTGCAATATATAAATTTAAACATTAACCGTCTGCAAAATCGTATGGCCAGTTAATCAGTTAAAAAACCAAAAGCGCTTCAGCACGTAAGTCCCCGCTCTAATACAACGCTTAATAAACCGTACCTTCGGATGATTCTGAATGCCAAGTGCAGGAAAAATAGCTGCACTTGCTTCAGTGCTATAGTATGTTGTGCTACTCCAGTAGCCCATACATATAAAGCATGATTTTCTATTAGTGCGCAGTGCGTACACATGAAAACTTTCTATGTTCGTTTGCTTTTGAAAGCGCTACGTGGTGAAGCGCGTTGCTTTTGAAAGCGCTACCTAGCACTGCACGTACTGCGGGAATACAAGCAAGCAAATTAACATAATATTTGAATATATTATAAATAATATTTATTATATACCACATAAAGATAGGTGCAGAAAATTATTCTCTCTCATAATTTTGCCAGGGTGTACAGTGCACACCCTGCACATATGGACCGCACGCCACTGGTATGTATATATATATATATATCCACTCTCTGTTAGTCTGCTCAGTTTCTTTATTCTTATATGTTTGCAAATTGTGGATTTTTTGCTTTAAAAATGATTGAATTATGTTTTTCTTATCTCTGGTTAAAGTTTTTATGCCTTTAGTAAATCTGCATGCAATATTTGTGGAGTTATCAGCAATTGAAAAGTTGTTTAAGTGCAGCTAAGCCTAATGAATTTTGCGATGGCGGACATGTTTGTTTACATTTCAAACTTGGCAAAATAGCGGATTTGTTGCCAATCTAGAGAAAATAAGCTTCGCAACAACAAAGATAACACCATCTTTTATTATTTCGAATTTAATCACGCTTAATCCATTCTGGAATTTATTCGAGGCAAAGTGTTTCAGATTTATTTCGTAATTTTTAATATAGATATTTTGATATATATTTTATATGTATTTTTGCCCTGTCGAGAAGTGAGAACTGAATTAATTGAATGAGAAATACTGAATCGTCTGTGAAAAATTGTTTGTTTTTTTGTTTTGTTTGCTTAATTTCTTTTATACATCGTTTTAGATTTATTATAGTATTTGAATAAAACATGTGGCAATGATTAGATAATTCTTCAAATGATATAAATTTATATGCATTGTGAGTCATAATATAGACGAAATGTAACGCTGTTAAGTGAACCTAGCGCCAGAGTGTCGCTATGGTAAACAAATATAGAGAATTTTAAAGAGTGCATTTATTCTATTGTGGTTTATGCGCTATCGAAGAAGTAGATTTAATTCAATACAATAAGTTTAAATGAAATGCAAGAAAAAATGCGTATAATTTAATATATCGTGCAAGGAAGTCATGTGGTGTACACATCAGATTTTTACTTCGTTGTACGAAGTAAAAAGGAAGTATTGTAATCGCGAAAAGTTTCAGGCAGCATACTTCAACGAAAATATCCACTTTGACCGATAGCGAATGCAATTTAACGATGTTTTTGCGTGATATCTGTACGTAAGGACAGAATAAAATACTCTTTTCCTCAAAAAAAAAAAAAAAAAAATATATATATAATATATATATATATATATATAAAACTGCTTTAAAATGAATTCTGAAGAGAATTTTTCGTGGCGTCTGTACGAACGTACGTACGTATCTCGCATCAAAAACAAGTCTCAGAACGTTGAAATTTTGTATATAGGACTGCTATAACATGTAGATGTGCACCTCGTATTTTGGTTGCAATCGGCCGCACCAAACGTATATAAATATATTTATATATATATATCCACTTTGTTACCCGGCTCAGTGATCTCAGTTTCTTTACTCTTATATGTTTCTAAATTGTACAACTTTTGCTGTAAAAATGATTGAATTATGTTGTTCTTATCTTCCGCTTAAGGTTTTTATGCCTTTAGTAAATCTGTAGGCAATATTTTTAGAATTATCAACAATTTTAAAGTTGTTTAAGTGCCGCTAAGCCTAATATTTTTTTTTGATGGCAGCCATTGCTTGTTTACATTTGAAACAGCAGTATAGTGGATTTGTTGCCAATCTAGAGAAACTTATCTTCGCAACAACAAAGATAAAACGCCTTCATTTATTATTGCGAATTAAATTATGCTTAATCCTTTCTAGAATTTTTTTCGAGGAAATGAGTATTTAAGATTTACTTCGTAATTTTTAATATAGATATTTTGAGTTTCTATGTATTTTTGCCTTCTCGCGAAAAGAGAACTGAATTAATGGAATGAGAAATACTCAATCGTCTGTGAAAAACTGTTTCTTTTTTGTTTTGTTTGCTTAATTTCTATTATACGTCGTTCTAGATTTATTACAGTATTTGAATAGAACATGTGGCAACAATTAGATAATTCTTCAAATGATATAAATTTTGTGCATTCTGAGTTATAATATGGACGAAATATAACGCTGTTAAGTGAACCTAGCACCAGACTGTCGCTATGGTAAACAAATAGAGTAAGTTTTAAAGAATGCATTTATTCTATTGTGGTTTATGCGCTATCGACGAAGTAGATTTAATTCAATCCAATAAGTTTAAATGAAATGCAAGAAAAAATGCCTATAATTTAATATTCCGTACAAGGAAATCATGTGGTGTATACATCAGATTTTTATCTGACATAAAGTGAGGGTAACCTGCCGTCAAAACTTTTAAGCATACTCTTGTGCTTATAACTCCTTAATATGTGATATATATTTTAAATTCTAAAACTTAAACTTACAAATACATTTATTTTTGATATAAACATTTCGTTCAGACCATTTTAGACCACATGTAGAGTAATGTACCTTTCATAACGCTTGTGAAACTTCTAAAGAAAAATTCTATTTTCACCAAAACGCATAAACATAATATTATAAACTTTAGCATATTATATGATCCATTTTTTTTTCACTTAGCTTCCACAAGAATTTGATTTAGAGGCAGCAGGCATAAAATATCCAGTTTGCTACAACGAGAGCATGAATACCGTACTTGTTCAAGAAATGGAGCGTTTCAATAAGTAAGATTTTATTCTCGTACTTACATAAAAATATCTCTGTGCATAAAGGAAAAAAACACCCTAATGTAAAATTTAATTTTATGCACAAAAGACATCTTAAATTAGCGTTAAATATATATATTCATAGAAAGAAGCTTAATAACCAAGTAAAATGAATTTTAGACATTCAAAAGTATTGTAATTAAGCGTAATTGCAGCATTAATTAATAAAAATTGTAAAAACTGTAGAGACGTTGGGTATTTTTTTTAAGCAGGGTAGATGAAAAATGAGCAATGCCCTCGCCGAGACTCGAAACTCGGACCTCTCGAATACGCGCGAGTGTGCTGACCGCTACACCACGAAGGCATGCTAAGAAGGCGAGAGAAATACCTTATAAGATGAGCTAGTTAAACTTCATAAAACCAGCGGCATCAAAATACCTTATAAGATGAACTAGTTAAACTTCATAAAACCAGCGGCATCAAAACACCTTTTCACGCAGTAAATTTATTATAATTTTCTAGCAAGTTGCGAATCTTGATAGAGATGGTTAGTCTAATTAATATAAGGTAACAGTTTCTATAAAAATATTTAAATTATTTTCAAACTTTCCAATTACTAGAAGCACATGTAATAATCAAAAGCCAGAACTGATAAATATTCAAAATAAGGAAGAACAAGAGAACTTTAAAAAAAATTTTAAATTCAAAAGGCACTTGTAAAAGCTACAAAATGAACTTACGCTAAAATGGAATGGAATGTTTGAATCCGTTCGTAATCAAGGGGATGGCCGAATTCAACACAATTAATCATATATATATATAGGTTTATACGAAGTGTGACAAAAAAAAAAAAAAAAGCGGAGACTGTGTAGCTTGAAAACAGAATAAAGTTGGTAACAACTGTTTTGGTGACGTCATGTCACACATCTCCTCTATACATGCGGTTAGTTTCGACTTAACCGATCACGCCAGTGGGGAGTACTGTGTCATTGAGTGAATACGTGCAGCTGCATTCTGCCGGAAAAATGTCTAATGTAAAAACCGAACAGCGAATCAGCATCAAGTTTCTTGTGAAATTTAAGAAATCAGCCACGGAGGAAGCATTTCAAATGTTAACCAAGGCTTATGGAGCTAAAACTTTGTCTCATGTGCTTGTATTTGAATGACATGAGAGGTTTTCAGGAGAAAGGGACAGTGTAGAAGATGATGAATGTGCTGGGAGTCCCCTTGGGAGCCCAGCACGTTAATCATGATTGAATGAGTTCCCAGTGGTTAGACTGTTAATCAGTATTACTACATTGAAGTACTAAAAATACTTCGTGATAAAATTAAGGAAAAAAAGGCCACAGTTGTCGAATGATGGATGGCTGTTGCACCACGACAATGCATGCACCCGCTCACATGGCCCTATCTGTCAAGCAGTTTCTGACCAGCGAAAACATTACTCTGATGGGGCGCATCCTCCTTTTTCACTTGATTTGGCTCCATGTGACTCTTTTTATTTCGTAAAGTTAAATCTTACTTAAAGGGAACCCATTTTACCTCAGTTGAAAAAGTTCAGGCAAAAACGGAGAATCTTCTGAAGGGCAAAAACCTCGTTCCAGAACTGTTACCAGCGATGGTAGCACAGAATGCAGAAGTGTGTAAATGCTGAAGAGAATTACTTTGAAGATGATAATGTCACGGAGAACTGATTCTGTAAGTACAACGTTTTATTGGACCAGTTTCGTTTTTTTATGTCACACCTTGTATATATATATATAAGATAAAAAATATGGAAGCAAACTTCTAAATTTAATTCACTATAACCTCCTTGATTTTTTTATTTCATTTGCAAACTTCATTCGCTCTGTCATAAAAATAGCGCTCAAATCTAAACTGCGTCATTCAAATTAATCATGCAATTTTACGTAACCCTTAATGCAGATGCCTGTTGACCAATAACCGAATTGTAAACCAAAACTAAAAACTGAAATTTTTAACTCCCTCCCTGCTTTCTATGAACTGATGCGTCACTTTTGCTTGTGCTTTCCTCTTCGCCAGCTGTTTTGCTGCAATCATGTATGAGCTGCTATATTCGTTTCTATATCAAAAATTGCAATAATTCGGCAATAATATCAAAAATTGTAAATGTTTTTAATAGGCACAAGTAGAGTGCCAAGTGAATTGTGGCCACAAAATGAGAATTGAAATAAAAAAGGAATTCAGTTCGGCTCGACTTCTTCAAAAATGGGTGGACGCTCTAAGCATCAAGTATCTGCGCAATTAGTATTTCTACGCATATACGTCTCAGCTTTCGTATTTCAATGCTTCCAAAATTTGTGCTATCATTACGTATATATATATTCAAAACCTAAAACTCCATTGATTTCGAAACTGAAAGTAAAAAAAAAATTTTTTTCAAGGTTCAAAATGTTTCAAAAGTCTTTTCATTCACATACCCATTTGTATTGGTTATATTTCCCATAATATATAACAGCTCTTCGTGGGCTGTTTGTAGACTATGGGAAGTAACATCTTTGTGGACACTCAATTGGCCATAAGAGTCCCATTTAGAGCAGAGGAGGAAGAGAGGTGGATGACTATTGTCACGTAGTCTTGCGTTCAAAAGAAGACACAATATTACAGATTTCAAAATAAATGTCTATTTCATTTTTACCAAACAGTAAATTAGTTACCAAACAGTAAAAATGAAATGTGCAATGGAAAAATATGTACACTACTCAAAAAAAAAAAAAAAAAAAAAAAATGGGACAGTGCCATATCTACCGTTTTACTGGGCCGATTGACAAAATTCAAACTGCGTTTTCCATGTCTCGAAAGCACGACTTAGGATATATATTAGATTTATATATAGCACTATTCTAACATAGGTATTTTGACACAAAATCGGACTTTTTCTGAAATAACATATCAATATTTTTCCATATTTCGATTCGACGACTCAAATTATGCCAGAATACCAAGTTTTGTAAAAATCGTACGAGTAGTTTTTTAAATATTAGCTCTCAAAATTTTAGCTCCTCAATGTTAATTGAATTTGGTAAATATTAATTAATATCTCTTTTTTGATTAAACTTTTATTATTTTTCCTTTCACATTTCGAAGTTTAGGTTCATTCCAAATAAAATTTACCCATTTTTGTGCTTTAATTTTTAAATTTCTATTTTTAAATAATTTTTGAAAATTTTTTCAAAACATTTTGAGTTATAACCTATAACATTTTTACCATCATCTTAAAGTAGGTGTATTTTTAAGCATATCTGCAAACAATTAGACTTTTTTATTAAAAATTTTCTCAGATATACATGAATTTACATATTTTCGCGTTTTGAAATTTAGCATCTTTTTTTTGAGTGATAATAACGCCAAATATGGTCTATGGTTTTTTGTTACAGTGAATTGCCACAGCTATTTTTAACCTTAAATTTCAAGTAAAATTTTACGGAGAATTAATTATATGAAATTTTTTCCCTCAATGATGCGTAATAAATATTTATTAATACTATATGAAAAGCTATTTTTTTTTAAATTTTAGATTAAATTATTCAAATTTTTAACTATTTTTTTAATTTCTCTCTTTCTTCCTTTTTTTAAAAGAATAAGAGTAAATTTTTACCTTCGGCATTTTATCGTCTACTACTTTACTTAGTTTAAATAGAATTGTCTAAAACTGAGAATTTTCGTTTGATGTTTATTTGAATTTTATGAAAATATTCTATGACATTAACTGCATAATTTATTTCTAAACAAACTTATGAAGTGGCTGAAAGAGTGGCTGATACTATCATCCATATTTTTAAAGCACAGTATAGTTTTATAGAAACATAAGATTTAGAATAATCATTTTTATGAAAGTCAAATTTTGATATAAACATACAACCTTCTAGAGATTGAATTAATGGAAGTTCAATGGTTATGTAGAAATGATCTGCAGCTACTTAATGGCTGGAGAAGTCAGCAGGTTCTGTGGACAAGTAAGAATAATTATAGAAACGACACCCAACATTCTGGATTCAATTAACAACGAGGATACGATGTTTATTAAATGAATTTAAGAAGTTTTAAAACATAAAAGTCAACTCTTTTTTTATCCTAAAATGTATTTTTGTGCGTAGCGTATTTTCATTATATCCTTAAAATTCTAATTTAGAATGTAATTTCCAAGAACCGAATCCTAATCATCAGTAATATAATAAGTAATTATTACGGTTATTAATGAATCCTTCTTATAAAGTAATTGCAAATATTTCAAAAAACTTTTTGTCTGAAAGCAAATATTTTTCTATGCGAATATTTTTAATTTTATATTAATCAAGATTTCACACGATATTATTTATTTGCGATTCAATTCTTACAGTCAGCTCTAGTAGAAGTTACACATCAATTATATTTAATTAAGGATTGGATTGGATTCGATTATTTAATTATGGCAAAGCACACGAGGACTATCTGCCTAAAGGAAGGGATGCCTTCGTGGATGACTTTCTAAGGGAAACTGGCTCGCATACTCGTTACACATGGGGAAAACCACGAAAACGCCTTGCAGCCAGCCCGTTCGCGGGATTCCAACCTCAGACCGAACTACCAGTATTCAGCGTCTTTACCGCTCGCCGCTGGTGGACTATTTAATTTAGGAATGACCATCTATGTTTAGAAACAGTGTACCATAACAGCAATTCAATTATTGGCGCCGTATCTTTCCTGTTACTCCCGATTGGCAAGCTACATGATTTTTAATGAGTATTAGGGTTTTGCTAGTAACTTGAAAATCGCGCTTAAACTACGTTTGTTGGTTATTTGAACATAGAAAGAACATGGGAGCTATTTGATTAAGATGCTTTCATAGAGAACCTTTGCAAAGAGAACCTAGAAAACTACGAAAACCAACCATGCAAGTTTGTGTTAGACTTCGCAACAAACAATTAGTATTTAACAATCTTCAAATGCTAGGCAGCTGGTGAGGCTCCAATTAAATCTCCAATTTAATATTTTATTTGTAAATATTTAAAATATTA